TATATATATATTTAAGTAATTTTTGATGTCAATATAAAGAGGAAACTTCAAATAGTATTTGTATATTAAGATTTCCCAATTGTAAATAAACAAAACCATGCTAGCTGAGCTCACGGGGAAAAATTCAAAATTTTAAGGCGTTTTTTTTTCTCAAAAACAGAGTTTTTGTTGCTACTGCTCAAAAAAATACTTCAAATTTTTTAAGGTTATATTTCAGACAGTTCATTCAAATGATTCATTGATAAGGCATTAATTCATAATATTTTGACAAAATGCCATTTTTGCACACATTTAAATCAAAACCCCACATTTGCATATTTCTCCACACTTTTGGACTTAATCATCCTTTCGATGTGATGGGGCCACATATATATATTTTTTTCTGAGCACTGCCTAATACTGAAAATATTGTTTTTGCTCTATGTGTCCATACATAATGGTAACAAATTAAAAATGTGTCAGAAAATATTTATCTCTAAAATCACAGTTACATTCCTTTTGTCTTTTCAGTGTGCCACTCAAAAACAAACAAACTTGGATTAAAACTTTACACTTAAGGCTATCTGCGCTGAGCTTGTGTCTGGTGCTGATCAGGTGGGCTGGTGAAAGGGCAGATTTAGTGTCACCGTGGCCTCCCTGGGCTCCACTCGCCTCGGCCTGTTGATCATCTCGCACTCGTTGTGTTGCACGTTCTCCTCGTTCATGTGAGACACCTCCGTGGAGCCCGCCTCAAACCCGGGCCCGGTGTTGGCCACGTGGACCACGTGGACCTTATTCCTCCCGTTTTTGATCAGGAGGCAGCTGAAGACTTTCTTGAAGCCCTTGCGGAAGTGTTTGGACACCAGAGCGTACACGATGGGGTTGACGCAGGAGTTGGCGTAGGCCATGCAGTGGGACAGGAGCCTGAAGGCGTACGTGGTCTGGTTGAAGGGGAAGTCTCCGTACAGGTAGCACAGTATCACCACGTGGTACGGCAGCCAGCAGATGCAGAACAGCACCGTGACAATGATGATCATTTTGGTGACTTTGCGTTTGGCCCTTTTGGATTCGGACATGCCGTCGAGCGGGTCCACGGCCGTCCACAGGTACTTGATGGTTCTGGTGTACGAGAGGCTCACGATCAGCACGGGGATGACGTAGCCAAACAGGAAGGTGCACGTGTCCAACACCTTGCGGTTCTGCTCCTCCCAGCCGGGGATGCACACAGTACTGTTGGCGAAGTCGATCAGATCGTAGTAGCTGAGATACGGACCTGCAAAGACCAGGGAGAGACCCCAGATAACCACCATGGCGACCACAGCATTGCACGGAGTTCTTAGCTCTCTGGAGCGCAGCGGGTAGCGGATAGCCAGGTATCTGTAAAAAAATAAACAAATAGAAACAGAGAACTTATAATTTAGTACTCTGACTCAAAAAGCTCAATTTCCAAAGCTGTTAAAACAAATGATGTGGATGAAGATTCTCATTTTATGTGTGTTTATTTAAAAGGAGTGTTCACGTTTGTTAATGGAAAAAGGAGTAAATGCTTTTAGACTCTTAATGAAGTTATATTATGGATAATTAGGAGAAAATGACTTGTTTCATTTCACCTCACATTACCCTCATGCTAACAGCTCTGCCAGCAAATAGCCCCCCTGCAGACATCCTAAGGATCTATRCGGAGGAGGGAAATAAAAAGAAGGGAAAGTGCAGCTTAGATGTTTATTTTTTTTCTCCGTTTGAATTAAGAATTAAACCATATAAATTGTTTACTAGAAAAACTCACCACCTAGCAGGCTGATATTTAATCTTTAAATCTACATAATAAGAATTTCGTGTGCTAAATGTTCTTCTGCAGCARTTCAGCTTCCTTTTCCCATCACTTCAGGTAAAACAGCAACATTCATGTCCTTGCTTTTTACATTTACAGAATACTTCAACCAGCTCTCCAAAAACAGAGGGAAAAAAACCCTGTGATGTTTCATTTTTCCCTGAAATGGGGACAAAGTCACTTATGTTTGACATGAAAAGCAAAAAGCCGACACTTTGAACCTACTTTTATGGAGCCCCGGCTGRACGGACAAGAAACACCCCTCCCAACAGCTCTCTCTACAGATGGATTTTGTTAGCAAGAGACAAGTGAATACATCTTTTGGTTGAATTTCAAATTCTTAAAAGCAGACGGACATGTGCTGAATTTATTATTGATTTATTCACCAAACCTGCTCTATYTAATGTACTGTATTTAAAAACACAGGTAAAAGAAAAAAGCACAAGCATGAACAAAAGACTTCATGCAGAGTATGTATTACAGCATCTACATCCACATTTATAAACATCAGGTACTAAATTAAGGATGAAAAATGCTACACTTTCTTATAAAATCAAAGAAAGCATGTCATTTATCTGTTTATAGCAGCTGCAGCCCGAAAATACACAGCGTTAAAAATAAAGCATGTTAGCTGCTTTTTTTTCTGATCTGGGATTTTATTCCCARGGCTCCTGCCAGAACTATAAACTGCTGATTCTTTTCTTGTCTTGGTAGGTGTAGACGTATATATCATGTAGAGATTGAGGGGGAAGATTTATTATTGTTCTCATGACTCAGATGTTGTTGCTATTTTCCAGGCAGAACTGTTGAATCCTCCACAGGATAAACAGAGCCGGTGTGAAAGCACAGAGTCGGCTGCAGAGGCCAACTGCTCACTGGCTGCCTGTTATTGACCGAGTTGATTATGTTACCAAACAACTGTAATGATGGCTTAGAGCGAACCCAGTGAGGGAAATAATCTTCAGCCAGGGATACTGCCTGATTATTTTCGAAGATGTCCAATAACTGTTTCCGTGTCTTTGTGGGGTTCTTCGTTTTTTTTTGTTTTCTGTTTTGTTTTTTACTAATTCTGTTATGGAGCTTTTTAGGAGTCCCACCATTCTAGATAATTTCCTCYTTCTATATAAAACAGATAATCAAAGTGGGGTTCTTGTTATGTGACAATGCAGAAAACAAAACAAGACATTAACTGAACTAGCTACCACGTGGCATATTTGACCCCCGCACCAATGAACCAGAACTCAAAAGTCATCAGAACTGATTTATTATTTATTAGCTCCACCAAGGGGGTTAGGTTTTTGGTCGCATGTGTCTGTCGGTGGACAAAATTTCTACTTACTGATGGATTTTTGTGAAAATTTTCGTGACATTTTTACCACAAGTGGGTATTGGCCAAAGGAACATACCATTAAATTTTGGTGATGATCCAGATCATGATCTGGGTCCAGAAACCTTTTTGAAGGATTCTTCACAATTAAAGAATAGAGGAAATTGGCCTTGGCGGAGGTTTGCACTCTCTGAGTGCTTCTAGTTTATAACTTCTTCTTT